TGAAAACACGTACAAGGTAGTTTCTCCAAATCTGCTTTGAGCTGTTTGCTTTTCATTTATGCAAATTTGTCATATGTTTAAATTGATTCTAAGTTCTAAACTGAGTTTATTCCCCCAAAACCTAAGTGGTTGTTTTTTTTTTAATTTTTTTTTAACGTTTATTTATTTTTTTGGGACAGAGAGAGACAGAGCATGAACGGGGGAGGGGCAGAGAGAGAGGGAGACACAGAATCAGAAACAGGCTCCAGGCTCTGAGCCATCAGCCCAGAGCCTGACGCGGGGCTCGAACTCCCGGACCGCAAGATCGTGACCTGAGCTGAAGTCAGATGCTTAACCGACTGCGCCACCCAGGCGCCCCGAAACCTAAGTGTTTTTAATGATACAGAAAAATTTTAAAAAACAGTGCAGTATGTTCACCTCCAATATTAACATTTTCCCATATTTGCCTTCTATTTCTTTCTCCAAGTTTTTCCCCCCCTCTATGTAAACCACTCCCCATTTTTGTACCAGCTGCCACCAGCCTTCATTTCTTGAAGATTTGCTGTATGCCAGGACCTGTGCAGGGGGATTTGTATGGAACATCTCATTAAATTCATACTCCAGGGGCTCCTGGGTGGCTCAGTCAGCGGAGCGTCCGACTTCGGCTCAGGTCATGATCTCATGGTTCATGGGTTTGAGCCCCAAGTCGGGCTCTGTGCTGACAGCTGAGAACCTGGAACCTGCTTCAGATTCTGTGTCTCCCTCTCTCTGCCCTTCCCCGCTCACACTCTGTCTCTTTCTCAAAAATGAATAAATGTTTAAAAAAAATTTTTTTAAGTCTATTTAAATCCATACTCCAATCCTACCAAATAGATTATTGTTTCTCCTAATTCAACAGATGAGACTTGGGCGCAGAGATGAGATTTGCTCAAGGTCACCTAGCAAATTGACTCCAGAGTCCACTTGTCTAATCACTATTTTATACTACCTCAGGATCTAATTTGGTGTCAAGATTGTCAGGCTCAGAGAGGTTAAGACATTTGCTGGAGTTGACAGAACTGAGATTCTGGGCCTCCAACAGATTCAGTGAGAATGAAGATGGTAAGGCAGCTGTGGAGTTAACTCCAGCAAGCCTCAGTCTTGTTTCTGACTCAGTTTCCCTACTTGTAAAATGATGCTTGTAACAGGACTGGAGGCAGGGACTGTACTGGCTCTCCAGCTATGGTCCCTGTAGTTTCTTTCTTTGTTTTTAGAGAGACAGAGAGGTAGAGCAGGAGAGAACCTTAAGCAGGCTACATGCCCAGCGCAGAGCCCAACTCGGGGCTTGATCCCACCACCCTGAGATCATGACCTGAGCTGAAAATCAAGAGTCAGGGGCTTAGCCAACTGAGCCACCCAGGGGCCCCTATATAGTTTCTATTGAATGGAAGACACTGAGTAGATAACTTGTCTCACTCCTACCTCAGGAAGAAGGGGTTTTATTTTTGAGCATTTCCACAAACCTCTAAGTGGGGGATGTTGAGCAGTGTGGCTGAGGGTGGGACTCTGGAGTCCAATCAACTGCCTTCACATCTTGGTTCCTCTACTATTCTTTACCCACCCTGTGGGCCAGTGTTCTACTATGGAAAATGAGATAATCAACTCAGCCTCATAGTATTGGAGGATTAAAATAATGAATGCTGAACACAGAGCCTGGTCCATTTAAGCACTGAATGATAGCCATGATTACTATGTCATTGTTTTCCTGGGCTCACATGCAGCAGGTGTAAGACATATGTGAAGTGTTGAACCAAGTGATTGCAGGGTAAATGGGCCGTATTTATAGTGGTCACAACTGCCTGCAATGCCTTCATTCCCAACATCTGTTAGTTGCCAGGGTAGCTCTTGCTTTACCCTAGTTCATGGGCATGTATAGTCACCAAAGTTTGCCAGCTGGGCATCCTCTGCACCTCAGCCCCTCCAGACAGCATGGCCTGCTGTGGGTTCTATTCAAGTTCACATCCCACTTTCCCTTTGGACCTCTGGGAATGAGCAGTCCTCAGCCTCATGAGAGGGTCACAGGATACAGGCCTATAAGGGACCCTCAGACCTGGTGTTCCCACATAGGTATGCTAGCTACAGAGTGGACTGAAGGGAGGCAGGACCCTTCCATCGTTAAGGACAGCCTCTATTCCCCAACTGCTTTCACCTTCCTTCCCTTGAGATAACACGGGCAATCCTAGCATTCAGACAAACCAACACAGATAGTCTTTTTATTGGGGAAAAACTCGGGTCTCTCATGTGCTCTTAGGAAAATAAATAAACAAGGAGATGCTACACTATTTGCAACCTGTAGGATGACCTCATGATCAAGTAGGAGCCCTGAACCCCTCTGTGGGCCAAAACTGTACTCCTTCAAAGCAATGGGAGAGGTCCACCAGCTGGGCTAGGATAAAAAAAGGAAACCCAAGGTCTCTTTCATTTCAATTTCGGGGACAGGCTGCACTTCTCGCATATCTGGAAGGGCAGCATGTGAGTCAGGGAGGTTTCGTTTATGGCCACCAGTAGCTGCAGCTTGCTCAGGCAGTCCTGCAGTGCGGCCTCAGGGTGCCCGCCTAGGTGCAAGTCCACCGGGCGCGGGAGCTGGAGCATACGGTCGGCCAGCGCCAGACAACAGATGGCCAGCAGGGAGGGAGTATAGCTGGTGAAGGCATAGTCAGCCAGGCTCAGTTCCGCCACGCCGCGGGCCAAGGCTTGTGCCTCCAGGGCTTCGGAGACTTCAGCCTGCCCAGCCTCCACGCGGGCGTGAGTGAAATACTCCAAGAAGAAGCTGATGGTTGGTGCGCCGAGGCTGAAGTGCAGTTTGTGCAGCACGATGCATTCGAGGTTGCAGAGTTGCTGCCGGGAGAAGGCACCGCAGCACAGGGCCAGGAGCTGCTTCACGCGTGGCGGGTGCACCTCCACCTGTTAATACAGGGGCGTTCAGACCCCGCAAAGCAGCATCCAGGGCCGGACGCCCACCCCCGTATGAAATCCCGGAGAAAACCAGCTCTCCCTCTGTCCCTCATCCCTTCCAGCAAGATAGCTGGGCCGTCGCCTCTGCGTTACTTCCCCTTTAATCACCTGGGGTATAGTTCCAGCGTAGTTTCTCTAACTGGACAGTAGTCCAGCTAAAAAAAGATTTGAGAAGTTTTAAAGACTTTTCCCCCCGGGGGGCCTAGAATAACAAGGCTACCAAGAGCTGTTGGGACTTACTCTTGGGACTGACTTCAGCCTATTTCTTTGGGGGCCGGGTGAAAGGACTGTTGGTTGGGGGTGGGGGAAAACTGTCAAGTTAAAGCTGTGGGGTGCATACGTTTGGAAATGTATAACAAAATTAATTCAGAAAGCCCAGCACTAAGTCGTGTGCACTTGGAAAGCCGGGTGGTGACCAGAGAGTGGCCAAGAGTTTGGCAGTCCCCTAAGACTCCGTGTGCAAGTACCTGTTTGCAAGCGATGAGCAGGGACGTGACCCCCAGCAGCTGGAAGCAGTCTGCAGCCACAGGGGTGGTGGTAAGAAAGCGGTCCAGAGTGTTCACTGCCAGGCACAGCGATTCGAAGGAGAGACGGAATTGGCGATGCACGGGGATCAGCCAGCTAAGCAGCTTACAGCGGGATTCCGCCGTTACCTGCCGGGAGAGAGGTGGGGGGAGGACCAGCTGAGCCTAGCGCAAAGAAGGTCTGCGTCAGGGACCAGCCAAAAAAACCTAGGGAGCTTCCCTGGAGGAAGGCACAAAGGAGAAACGTAAATGCGCTGGTAACTGGGGAAAAACTGGGCAGCGCTGCTGCGCAGAGAGCAATGGACGGGCAAGGGGCCGGAATGCTCACATTCGTACCTGGCCCTCGGGGCGCGTGTGTATGTATACACATTACCTTGTGTAATCCTCAGATCAATTCAGTGAGTGGAAGGGGCCCCTACTATTCAGATTAAGAAACAAGCTCAGAATTGTTAAATAGCTTGCCCGGGGTCGGGAGGAGTCCTTACTCGAGCCTAGAAACTTTCTTGACTCGTCTGCATTCTACCGTGTCCCCGCTAACCAGTATGGAAACTTCGGACAAGTCACTTAAGCTATCTAGGCCCCACTCTTCTCCATTTGTAAAATGAGGACGGTGGCCCGGTCCTCCAAAGCCCCTTCCCGCTTGGACTGAGAACCTCCGTGAGCGCGGGCGGGGGCGCTGCGGAGAGCAAACAGCAGAAGAAAGAGCAAGAGGAGAGGCGGTGGGGAGCTCGCTCTACCCGCGCCTCACTTGTGGCTGCCGCGCCAGCGACTCCCGCGGGTGGAAGTGGCTCTCCCTCGCCTTGCGGAAGACGTAGCAGCTCTGACCGTAGTCACGGAAGGTCTGTAGATCTAGCTGCTCCAACTGCTGGGCAGGAGCAGGTAGGGGGCTGCAGCCTAGCGCCGCGGAAGCTGCTGGACTGTCTGCACCATCAGATCCGGAGCTGGGGGACTCGAACACGTCGCAAACACCGGAGTCTCCGGGGAGTGGGCACGGGCTCAGTGGCTGCAGCGGCTGCTTCCTCCGGAGACGTGGACGCCTGTTCTTCTTCACCGGGGCGCGGAGGTTCTGGTCGTCCCGCCTCCTAGCCCGGGCGGCGGGGCTCACGAGACTCGTGGGGCAGGGGGTCACCATTATGCAGTCTGGTGGTCGCTCGGTGATTCCCCACCTGCGGGGAACCGAAGGCCCTCAAGAAAGTGCGAAATAGGCTGGCGAAATCGGCGGCGAGGCCCTAAGTACTCGGCGGGCTTCTGCCCTCTACCACACCCCCGGCTTCTCACTGGCTGATTACTGAGCGGCACGAGGCCGAGTTTTCCCGGCTAAAGAACCGCTTCGGAGCGAGCGGCTGGCAGCGTCCGGCTTGCGCAGCCCGCAAGGGAGAGGAGGAGCTACTGGAGTATGAGCGCACCCGCGGGGAGTTGCTAGCTCCGCGCGCGTCCTGCGTTACCCAGGTAACCCAGGTTAGCAGCTGGAGCAGTGCGCGCCTCCAAGGGTGGGGTGGGGCGGTGGCCTGGCCGAGAGGGCGCCGAGTACCGCCCAGGGCTCAATTGCTCCGGGAAAAAGATACCGCGGCTGTCGCCGAGTCCTGGTCCGGATAATCTCGTACGTGCTAGCGCTTTCTACGCAGCCTCTAATCCAGGTTGGTAATTTTGCAAAAGTTAGCTTCCGAACTCCAAACGAAGGCTCCAACTAGAATCCTGTCAGCACAGGAGTTTTCTTAGTAACCCATACAAGCAGTAATTCTAATTCGACTGCGTTTGTAATTTTTTTTTTTTTTTAGGCGGGACCCCAGGACCCGGGTATCCCTCTTTGCGCCGCTCTCGGGGAGCAGAGCCTCCGCAAGTTCCTCTGCGCTACGTATCTGGGAGCTACTCCAGCCAGCCAGGCAGGCAATAGTGCTGAAATCAACCAGAAAAAGTGCCCCGCGAACCTCCGATTGCCGATTTGCAGTCATATAACATTTGCTCCGCCCTTGCCACCCCAAACCAAGTAAACTGGAGCTGTTACGAACATAACATGGTTGGAGGGTTGCATTGCTAGCTTGATCGAATTGCTCACGGCCTTTTCTGTTTTATGTCATTAGCTTCTAACCCGCTCCCCGGGGCAGCTCAATCCTTCTTGATTATTCCCTGCTCTCCGTTTTTGCTCCTTCAGAAGCTCAAAAAAATAAAGCTGGAACCAGAAGCGGAGTGCCCAGGCAGGAAAGACTAGACTGGATGCGGCAGTTTCCTCAGGGCACTGCTGGTTTGGTTCCTAGCTTCCTGTCCTGGTAGAAGTTGGAGTCTTCTGCCTGAGAGAACGAACCTTCCTAAGGGGCTCGTATCCTGAGGAAAAGGGGCACAAGTAGCATCTAGTCAGCCTTGTAGGCATTTCTCAGTGGCAGAAAACCCACAACCCTCAGTTTGATGAACTTTCCAGAAGAACTCCAAGAAGTGAGGTTGCTAGGTAAGGCAAGAGCAGGTTGAGCCATTCCCACCTCATGTCAGAAGAAAGCAGAGAAATGTGTATAATCAAATTTAAATCCCTGTCCCTAGAAATTTAGTTGCATGTGGGGGTGTTGAGTCGTAGAGATGCAGGAAAGAGAAAAGAGACAGATTTGGGGTTCTGGTAAGTTTTACTCCTATTTCCCTGTAACTCTGAGCAAGGTCTTTAGTTATAGACCTAAACAGTGTCATTTGTAACTTGAGAGATGAGGTGACAATCACCGCTCTTTCCAGATACAGGTGCTAGGACTTGTTGTCTTCTCTCAAGCTTTTGCTGGGGAACCATTAAGGGAGGAGCAGTTAAATCTGTGGAGAGGGCTCAGATGTCAGAGTTTTTCCTTGAGAAGCTTTCTGGATGAGGAGGAAGGACCTAGGAATTCTGAGCCTTCTCATTAGCCCAGGTGGCCATTTGGTACAGTGGAAGGAGCACAAAGTCAACTTCTAGGGTCAATATTGTTGTTTCCATTTATTGGTCATCCTGGGCTAGCTGTTTACATTCTCTGAGCCTCTGTTTCCTCATTTGTTAAATGTGGTTGTTAATACTTGGCTTGAGAGTCCAGTGAAATAAGTGAAAACTCAAAGTCCTTTTTGAACATGAAGTAGGGGGGGTCACCTTAAAGCCTTCACTGGGAAGTCAATATCACCCTGGAGATATTGTGAAAAAGCAGAAGGGTCATTTTATCCACCTGTGGATGTGAGGCTCGTGTCTGTAGTTAACTCCCAACAGGCAGTACCTGAGCTTTGTACTGATGGGTGATATATTCCTTGGTATTTGTGGACTGCCTGTGATGCCAGGTCTAAGACAGCTATGAGGGCTTCATGAGTCCTGGGGTGCCTGGCTGGCTCAGTTGGTGGAGCATGCAATTCTTAATCTCAAGTTGAGCCCCAAGTTGGGTGTAGATATTACTTAAGAAAAAAGTTTCCGGGGTCCTTCCGGCACAGAGCTGGCACTCTAGTGGGAGAAACAAAGAACCACTTGTCACATTTCAAAAATTATTGTGATAGAGGATCTCCTGGGTGTAGGCCTAACAAATAAAATACAGGACACCCAGTTAAAATGAAGTGTCAGATAAATTTTAGCATAAGTCTGTTTCAAATATTGCATGGGACACGTTTATACTGACAGATTGTTATTTATCTGATATCCAGATATTTTGTGGGTCATACTTAAACTAAAAGATTATTGTTTATCTGAGATTCAAATTTAACTGGGCCTTATAACATCTGGCAGCCCCATCTGGGTATCATGGAGCCCATGGTAGAGCTAATTGACCTGGTCTGGAAAGGCTTCCCATGCAAGTGATAGTTAAGCTAAGACAGAAGGTGGGGGTCTTGAAAGAAGAGAAGAGGGATTTGGGTGACAATTCCCCACAAAAAGGAATAGGATGTTGGAAGATCTGAAATTATGGCTCTTCTAACATTCTAGGGTCTACCTGATAAGGAATGGCTGGAACACAGAGTTGTAAGGGAGAGAAAAAGTGAGATAATCGTTAATACTGACCCAAAACTTGTATGTCTGGTACTGTGTTATGATCCATATGAATATTATTATAGTATTTAATCTTCACGACAACTCTATGAGATAGATTCTATTATTGTCCTCATTTTATAGATAAGAAAATTGAGGAGTAAGAGGAAAATTAATTCGGCCAAGGTCCCACAGATAGTAAAGGGTAGAACAAGGATTCAAACTCAGCCTGGCTCCCTGTTCCATAATCAGCATGATACTGTTTCAACAGCAAGGTCATGCAGTGTCTTGAAGGTACATTAAATGCTAAAGACTTTACCTGAAGCCACTGAAGAGGTCTTAATCCAAAGAGAGAAAATCTGTCTTTTGTTTTAAAAGATTATTCTGGCTGATGTGTGGAAAATGGATTGTAGGGAAAAAGACTGGAGGCCATTTAGATGCAGTATTTGTGGTATGAACAATATGGTCCAAGTTAAGGGCTTTTTATTTTTCTTATGAGGAGTCTTTAAAATTAATTTCTCTTTTCTAATTTGAGACCTGGGTGCAATGCACCTTAAAGGCACTAGGTAGATCTAAATACTTTAAAGATGTAGAACCTAGGGGCACATGGGTGACTCAGTCAGGTAAGTGTCCTACTCTAGATTTTGGCTTAAGTCATGGTCTCACAGCTCGTGGGTTCAAGCCCCACAGTGGGCTCCGTGCTGACAATGTGGAGCCTGCTCGAGATTCTCTCTCACCTCTATCTCAAGATGAATAAACAAACAAAAAAAAAGATGTAGGACCTAATTAAGCCCAGGCTTTTATAATGAAGGTTGATTAACCATGATTTGACCCTGCTTATTTTCAGGTGTGGTTTTTGGAACCCGCAAGAGAGTATTAATATAATAGAACTAAAGTTACCTTGTTTTGTTTTTTTCCAGTTTGGCACTTCATCTTCAATGAAAAACCCCCACCCTCATCCTGCCCCAGGTCTTGGACAGTGATTGAGGTAGGAGGAATGCATTTACTAACAATACCTTGTTTAGCAAACAGAGTAGGTGGGTTGGGGTTGGTACCAGATATGTGAACTATTTTGTTAGCACCTCAAGATCCTTGAGCTCACTTTTGATTTTAAGTCACTAAAATTTATATTGGTCACTAAAAATTAAATTTACTAAAGACTGTTTTCTATTAATGTAGTTAAGTGCCCAAATTGGAAAGTGTTTAGGATACTTGAAGTCAGAAGTGAATTTCTGGTATCCAGTGTGGCTGAAGAAAATAATAACTGCCATAATTTTGCTGATATACCTACATATATGATAAGAATTGGACATTGAGAAGAAGTAAAAGAGTAGTAAGCAAAGTAGCATTCTCTTTGGGGCCACTTCAGGCCCCAGCTCTTTTGAAATACGGGAGACTAAGTGACTTGCTTCAGTGGGCCTTGAAAGCTTTTCTTGAGACTGTGATAGCCTGTTGCTCTCTTTGGTCCTTTCCCTTTAGATGGTAGAATTGCCCATGTAGATCCAAGGTGTCAGGAGGGAACAGTCCTCCATGATTCACTCATAACAAGAAAAATGCAAGCTAAATCCATCATGAGATACTATATTGTACATAATCTGGTTGATAAAAGTTCAAACGTTTGGTAAGAGGATTTAGGGAAATAGACCTCATGTTTTTGGTGAGAGTGTAAATTGGTACAGCCATTTTGGAAGACAATTTGGCAAGATCTGTAAAGATTTAAAATGTACATAATCTTTAACTCTGCATTTCCACTCCTTGATAATTATTCTGCATCAGTGCAAAATTACTTTATAAAAAGGTGTTTATCACAATATCCTTGTTAAAAACAAAATGTTGATTGTGTTCAATAAGGGACATCTAAAACACAAAATATTATGCAGCTGTTAAAAAGAATGAGGCAGGGGGCACCAGGGTGACTCAGTTGGTTAAGCATCCAACTCTTGATCTCAGCCCGGGTCTTGATCTCAGGATGGTAACTTCAAGCCCCAAGTTGGGCTCCTTGTTGTAGAGCCTACTTAAAAAAAAAAAAAAAAAAAGAATGAGGTAGATGGTTATGGACTGATGTAGAAGGATTTTCAAAATACAGTGTTAAATAAAGCAAGGTACAGAGCAGTATGTCAAATATATTGTCACTTGTGTAAAAAAAAAGGAGAATATCTACATATATCTTTATATATGCATAGAATCTCTCTGGAAAGATACACAAGAAACTGGTAACATTGATTGCCTTTGGGAAGAAATCCTGGGAGACAGAAATAAGAGAAAGAGGGTCTTCCTGCTATACACTGTCATGATCTTTTGAATTTTGAACTATATTTATGTGTAATCTCTTTCAAAAATAGCATTTTTCATATGCATGTGGTCTGGAAGTTAGAAAACAGGGAACCGAGGTTAGTCCTGAAAAATGGTGATCACTATTATATGTGGACATAGAAAGAGTGGATAGAGTAGAACAGGGCCTGTGTACTCCGGGAGCAAAGTTTTGTAACTTCATAAGTGAAACTGTTCTTTTGGAAGTTGGATTATATATCAGTGAACGGAACAGACAAATATCCCGGTCTCCATGGAGTTTATGGGGATGGAAGTGCCCGGAGAGACAAGCAATACAGGGACTGGCACATGGGAAGTGCCACAGGTAGATTGCATTATTTAATACATTAGTTAGATAAAGTTCAGTGGAAAAATTTGGGCAGAGAACTCTAGGAAATGGGGGAGTTGGCCATGTGGACATCTGAGGGGGTAGCATCCTAGCCAGAGAAAATAGTGCTGCAGGGGCCCCAAGGCATGAGCAGGTCTGCCATGTGGAGGAACAGCGAGGACACCAGTGTAGCTGGAGTAGGACTGAAAAGGAGAGCAGCAAATGAGGTGGCAGAGGTCATGGGGCCAGATCACATAGGACCTTGTTATCGCCAGCATTCAGTGACTTCTTAGGTCTTGTTATGTTGCACTTTTATTTATTGTAGCATTTAACCATCACTTCAACCGTTCGAAAGAGGTACAATTATTCTACCAATTCTACAAATGAGAGAATTTTTAGAGAGGATCAGGTGCTTGCTTGAAGATACACAGCTAGTAAGCAGAAAACTAGGATTTAAACCCAAGTCTGTGATTCTAGCCTGGACATTCATCCTTATGCTCTTCTATGTTCGTTAAATGCTAAGCAAGAACCGAGAAAAGGCTTTGAGTCCACCCTTGGGCCACTGCTTAGAAAGAAGAGTAAAGCTGAGGGAACAGAGTCCACAAAAGATGGAGGAGCCCAGCGGGTCAGAGCTGGTTGGACCTTTTTGTGATAAACCTGGAGGCTCTGTGGTGCAGTTTAGCAAGGCAGGCAGAGTTCCCTACCCCAAGCATGTGCCAGGAGGCACAAGTTGAGCTAGGGAAAAAGAAGCAAGGCTTCAAGGCTAAGAGAAGTGTGAAGCCATTTGGAGTGTGATGACCACAGACTGTATCTGATTTCTGTGAACCAGCCACCTCTCAGCAGGTGATGACATGAGAAAGTGACAGTTGACTTAGTTTCTCACAGAGAGCACTGGTGCTGAATAACCAAGTTTAAATTGTCGGGAGAGGACAAATTTGGTTATCTGGCAGCCTTGCTCAGAGTGAAGAGATGGTCTCATAAAGGAAGCTGACCTGAAGAGTGAGGGGAAAAAAACGGGTGGGTTTGTACCTTAGCAGTGACTGATAGGTTGTTTAAATGTTCAGCTTTCTTTCCACCTTCCATTCTTGGTGTGAACATGCATTTTAAATTAATTAGTAGATCCAAGACAAACCAATAAAGGATCTTTAAAAAAAGATCTGTTACTAGAATATCACTGTACCTATATACTGTGGTTGTCTGTCTCTGCCATTTCACAGCCAATATTTAACAAGTGCCTACTAAGTACTGGGCACTGCTCTAGGTTTGCAGCAGTGGATAGGATACACAAGGCCTCTGCTTGCACAGAATGGGGAGGGGAGAGGCTGAAAGTAAAACTGTGAACAAAATGTAAACGATACCAGGGGTGCTTGGGTGGCTCAGTCGGTTAAGCGTCTGACTCTCGAGTGGGCTCAGGTCATAGGAGCCCTGTGTTGGGCTCTCCACTGACAGCACGGAGTCTGCTTGGGATTCTCTCTTTCCCTCCCTCTCTGCCTGTCCCCAGCTCTTGCTTTCTCTCTCTCTCTCTCTCTCTCTCTCTCTCTCTCTCTCTCTCTCTCACGTAGTAAGTCTGTGCAGCAATTTGAGTGTGCTGCCCTGGAGAGTGAATGGGGAGTATTTTCAGTTAGATGGTGAGGGATGCCTTTTGGAAAGCAATGCTCATGTGCTGCTTGTGTTCACAAGTGAAAATGTCTTTTTCTTTTAATGTTGCGCAAATCCATTCCCTAAGTGAGATTTCTCAAAATCTCGGTTCAATTGATATGTCCTTGTTTGGGGAGCAGTGTTTTCTGGTGGGGAGGGAATCCTACAAATGTTTAGATAAGGATAGTTAAATTCTCCTGAAGTAGTTATCTCAAGGTGATTGGCAAAGACGTGAATTTGAAGTAGGCTCACTGTACACAGTGAATTTTTCCCAACCACATGAAAGATAAAGCTAGTACATCTCTGTGCTTATTATTGTTACTTTTATTATTTTAAATGATGAGGCTGCGGGTTGCAGAAAGTTCTTGTTAATGTCCAGTGGGGCATCCTATGTTAAAATAACCTCAGGCTCCTCTGTTAAATAGGGAAGATCTATCGTGTCTTTTCTTTCCCTACCACACAGACAACAAAGAGGGCAGCAATTAGTATCTTTAGACTGTGGTAAAATAACCCTTTGTCCTAAATGGAAAGCAAAGCTGGTCCTATTGAAGAACAACAAAGGGGAAGGCTGAAGGACATGATATGTAATGCAGCTACTTGAATGTCAAATCACAGGGTGCAGATCAAAACAGAGCAGCTGTTGAGGGCTGCCTTGTCACATATTTCTTAGAATTTGTGAGAAAAGCCACCAAGGGTGTGCAGTTAACAAAAGCTTTCAGCAAGTAGCAAGTTCGGTTGCCCTGTTGGAAGTTAGGTGCCCTGTTGAGAGGCAGGCTCCACTCTCTAAGTGTGTTTAGCTATGTGGGTTTGAAATGAATGGATAGAGTGGCTGAATTTATTTTCTGGCCCATGTGGCAAGTCTGGATGTTAAAGTTGTATCCTTCAGGAGCAGTGTTTCCTAGTACTTTGGAGAGACTGACAGATGCTCAATGTTCCTCAGCATTATGACCCACATTTCTGTATTATTACCATATCTGCTATTTCTGTTTCAGCTTAGAGGCATATATGTGTGAACTGCTTAGGAAGCATCTGATTTGTTCCAGACATTGTGCATTCTAGATTGTATTTTAGAATTGCATTCTAGACTATAACATAATTCTCCCGTATTCTGGAGAATACATTCCTGTAACATTCATTTCTTTACTTTTTTTTTTTTTAATGTTGATTTATTTTTGAGAGAGAGAGAGCACAAGTTGGGGAGAGGCAGAGAGAGAGGGAGACACAGAATCTGAAGCAGGCTCCAGGCTCTGAGCTGTCAGTCCAGAGCCCAACACAGGGTTTGAACTCACAAACTGCGAGATCATGACTGGAGCTGAAGTGGGATGCTCAACTGACTGAGCCTCCCAGGTGCCCCTGCTGCCCATTTTATAATGGTTGGTTGGATAGTTTGGATATTAACCCCTTATCAGATGTATGATTGGAAAATATCTTTTCCCATTTAGTAGGCTGCCTTTTTGTTGTGTTACTGGTTTCTTTCACTGTCCAAAAGATTTTTCATTTGATATAACCTCATTTCTTTATTTTAGCTTTTGTTTCCCTTTCCTCAGGAGACTGGTCAAAAAATTATTGCTAAGACCAATGGCAGAAAGTTTATTTCCTTTGTTTTTTCCTAGAAGTTTTATGGTTTCAGATCTTACATTCAAGTCTTTAATCCATTTTGAATTTGTTTTCATATATGGTGTAAGATAGTGGTCCATTTTCATTCTTGTGCA